GCCAAATATAACGGCCTGCTGCGCTCCTGCTGCACTCAACGGCCGGACACTGAGCGACCTCAACGACTCCATATTTACTCCTGTTGGTCGGGGGGCATGACGTCTTTCGGACTTACATTGTGCAGAAAATGTAGTTTTGACGAGACAGTTATGTAAGGTGTGGAAATCCTGAGATTCAGCAGGTTTTTAATGTTTACGATGTACGGTCGAGGTATTTTTAGTTAGGTAAAAAAGAAAAGTTTGGTATTTGCCGAGACCGCAACTGTTACCACTTACATGAAATTCAAGAAGTTTTTACTTCGGGAAACCATTAAAAACAACGTGGAACAACCTAATGGAAAATCCTCTACTTTTATGATTTTTCGCTGAAAAACAGCCAGTTTAACCGAACAAATCGGTTATTACCACCCGCCGCCGAGTTATTTATTCTATTAGCCTCAAAGAAGCAAGACGTACTATTACCGTTACATTAAATTGTGTATTCAGTGAGATGACTGGCATTAAAGGATTATTAGTAGTTACTTAGCCGTGGTTCTAGAGCTTACTCAAGCCACAAACCAGACAGTGACAAAACATTTTTGAAACTTGTTTGAAATCCGTTGGAAAAAATGTTTAAAGTCGGGTCTAAATTTGTCAGATTTCTTGTGCGTTTAGTAATGATGAGGAGAAGAAAGTGTTGTGCACACGTGGGACCACCCATGCCTATCGTTCGATTTCTTGTGGTATTTCTTTCTGGTTAACAAACTATTGTTAAATGGCGTGAAAATGAAGAATTTCAGGCAGAAAAAATCGCGTTTTGATTAAAGTTCGCCCTTTGTTTGAGGAAAGTTAAAATTAGTGTTTGGTAAAACTCCATTAAAGTCGAAGGTGCCTCATCTGAGGTCATGACCTGGCGCTTAGAAGAATACAAAACAAGGTAGTGGATAATGCGACGTCGGCAAGATAAACCTTATAATAAATTGACGTTTTAGGGTATCACGTGTGGCAACTAAAAACTTGCGCACGTCCTTCATGATAACAAGACACGAAAAAATTAAAGTTCAACGATCCTCGATTTTGGATCAACTTTCTTTTTTTTACAATCACATAAATGCTAAGTTCTAATTAGGATTTCGAAGCTTGTAGATAGCTGCTTTTTGTTATTTCAATGCAATTATTTAAATAATTGCTGTTAATTATTACCAAAATAAAAGCAAAATTTTAAGGTGTCTGGTTCGCGACGTGTTAATGAACGAAACCTTAACATTTTTCGTTATTTTTAAAAAACATTGGAATTATTTTTGAGGTTAAAAAACATAATTACTCATTTTTGTTATATGATAATTAATATTATTACAGGTGCAGTTCGACATCAAGGATTTAAACTTATGACTAATTCGCCCAGCCGAAAGCAAAGTGCGAAACGAGTTTGTCGAATGTATATTTGAACCAGACGTGAAAAAAACGTTGTATAACACACTAGGTATCATATTTTCATAAACTAAATTCCGCGACTCAATCCCTCCTGTGTGCTTATTAAATCCAGTTGGATTTTTTATTTCGAAGAGAGAACGGAAGAAATTTGTTTATAACTAGATGTGTAGGTGGCGACTCTATAAGATATCATAAATTGTGCGAACCGAGAAAGCTGGTTAATAGCCGTTGCAACTATTTTAAAAAATACGTTGACATTTCGCATTTGCATATTTCCGCTTGTTCCAATTTTGAAAGAGTTATCTACACCAACACTAACGGTGCATGTTGCCATTCTTATTTGCAACTGTTTTCTCCCGAATTTACCGTCATATCTTTGAATCAGAATAACTAATTACTCGTTTTATAATTACTAATTTATTTCCACGTTGCTTCACCACCTATTGATTGATTTCATCACTGACTTGCCCAATTAACATATTAATTGTTTATAATTTCGTATTTGAACCAACTGCTTAGCACCAGTCACCATGAAATATGAAAACAAAGTTTTAGATCAATAAGTTTTATCGCAGTTATCCAAAACTTGACGAAAGATAAATTCCCACATACCTTGTGTCTTCACGAGATTACTCCGCAAAGTGAAATAAATACATATAGGTAGAACTTCTAAGTAGAGACAAGTCTAGAACTATCTATTGAATAGTAGTTGCTTAACTCCATTTTCAGCATTGGAAATTAATGGCAAAGTCTGGGATTGCTATTTGAGACTTTAATATACATTTAAAAAAAAAAAAACTACAAGAATGTTTATACAAAAAACTGCTTAAACTAACCATTGGTTGTCCTTCAAAAATGTCTTGGAATAATTATACACATGTATACAATGTAGTAATGAGTTTGAATAATAAATTATTTTATTAAAAGTAATCTGCAAACACTGTTTCCCAAGGAGATGAAAAAAATGCTTAATGAGGAATGAATCACCGATGCTTAACTTAAAGGTGTTTTGACTAAGAAATATGAAAACAGCAAATCTAGACAGATATACCATTATAACATTAAATTATACAACTTGCAAATTATGATTTAATTTAAGAATTTAAACATTTACATAAATCGAGACATTATTGAGTTTAGACTGAGATTTTATAACGCTTATAATAGAAATTAATCTGTAAATAAAGATTTTATGTTTGTTTTTCGTCCAAAATTACTCCAAAATACCTTCACAAGTTAGTGGTGTACAAAATAAGCCACTAGTTTTGGTTCTTTAAAAAATAAAACTTTACATTAAAATTTATTGTGTTCTTTAAAAAAGTAAAAGACCAAGAACCATAAAAGCTAAAATATTAGTTAAAAGAGTGAAAACAGTTTCTTGGTAGAGAATGGAGGATTTAAAAAACGAGAAATACACGTAATTTTAAGAAAATTTGAAAGTTATAACCCTTAACGACTAGACGCCCACAACAAATTACCTTATTGTTTTCAACTCTATTTTCGTTTCAAGGTGAAAAAACAGTTTCTAATTGTCGTTGGTAATTACAGTATCTGAAGCGCGACTCCGTTTCTAACAGACGGTCCTTTAAATGCCTGAAGAATTAAGGTGGATGAAGACGTTCGCCGCCACTGCTTTCTAATTATAATCCGAGCCATCTCGTTTTTGTCTTTTTACGGACTTTGGCAAGGTTTTGAGCAACACGTGGGTGTAGGAGACAAATTGTCGATTAAAAGCACTCTCCACAAACACGAAACATGAAAAGTTTCATCCTGTCTAAACATTAAATAATAGCACTTATCATTGAAGCACGAAAATAAATGTAACAAAGTCATTAAGGTAGCAAACAAAATGCATTTGGAAATTACTGAGAGATAAGTGAAGGAAATAATAAAGTCTGTCAGAAGTACGAAGAGATCCAAATATTTGGCTTGGTAAGGATGTGTTTCAAGCCACCAGTCTAAATATTGGAAAGAAAAAATATATGGTAGCAGTTTTGCAAGTTTGTTATGTGAATATCATTTGTGTATATGATAAAGTGCATTGACCTAAAACCGCATGTGTGTCAGTTTATCGCAATTATACGCGGACAGAACCGTACTAGGCGCGGGTTTTCCGGCAATTCCGCGAAAAATTTCGACCAATTTCCCTGTTCGGTCAATGTACAACAATCTCATAGAAATAATTCCATGACAGTATAAAACAAAAAACATGACCCTCGCTGATGCCCTTCGCGATAAATTAATTAAGTATGACCCCCGTTATTGCAAGATTTAAACAAATCGGACAGGTGGTCAAGTGGCAGCATTTATTTTAGTCCTTCAACATCCTTATTTAAATACACGGGGTGGACGATAACCTCACATTCCAGGAGCAGTTTAAATTCTCTAGATCTGAGATTGCGAATTTTGACATATATTCACTTTTCCGCACGAGCTAATTAGAATAAAATAAAACCGTTAGAGATTTTATGGTGGATTTACGACTGGGAGCGTCTGCGAAAAAATTAATTTTGATTGCGGAATAAATCAAAATAGACGATAAAGTACCAGGATGGAAAACTGTTGTACAAGCAATATAATCAACATAAATCTTGCAAAATTGTTACACTGGAAGGGTCGCAGATAAAGACGGGAATGCTGCATTTACGACCTGCTAATTTTCGAAATGGAACACTGTTTGCATCTGTGAAGTATAAACACAGATAAATGATAAGGAAAAAACAATTGTTACCTTCAAATACCAAAAATCAAGCTGAGGCAACATTTAGACAATAAGGAAAGGTCTTTTAGATAACTTAAATAAACGGAAGAAGTTGTTAAACTAGTTTCGAGCTACATACATCTGGATTGCACAAATTTAAATAAAGACGACGACGAGGCGCAACTTTCTTAAGTCTTTCCGAATATTAATTTTAATCAAAAAGACCGGTTCTAATTTTTTTCAAATCTGACGAATCCAACAGGTGTAATGGTAATTTTGGGCTTTATAACGTTACATATTTTTTTCGGTGATAAATTTGTTATAACCGTCTCCAATCAAATAAAAATTTAAATTTCAAATTGGCGAATATTGTAAAATTCGAAACATTGAATGTGTGGCCATTAACATATTTTATGAATATGAAACGTACGGAAGTTTGACGGCAATGGAATTTGTTCAAGAAAGTTCACTCCATTATTATAACAATAAATCACTCTGATAAAAATACAATAGAAGTAATAAATTATTGGAAAATAATAAACAGGTCCCTTTGGGGTTACACAAAATAGATGTCTAGTCGGAAAGGAGTCATTTGTTTAAAATTTAGATCGCCCATTGGCTGCGGTCGACTTGCTGATTGTCGAATTTAATGCAAATGCAACTGTTGTTAGCAATACAAATGGTGACATATTTTCGTTCCTCGATAAAAATAAAACAAATTCTATTCATGTTTGAAAATGACAGCTAGAAAATAGCTCCGTACTCATCACAAACCCCAATGGAATATTTAAAAATAGTGCGTGTTCGCAGCCAACTCATTCATTCGTTGGTCCGAAAGTACCGACGTTTTTGGTACTATACAGGGTGAACGACCCCCGCGAATTACCTTTGCGGTTTAACGGCAGGTCTTATCATAGTTGGCCTTTTCTCGTCCTTATTGGGGAGTCTCAAGTAGTCTTGGTCTCCCAGCAGAAACAGATCTTTTGATATAATCATGGCAACTACTGGCCCCCACTTTGAACACAATTTTGCAAAATCCTCACAAACACATCCAGTCGCAAGCAGTCATGTTATTTATCCATTCGAATGTTATTCGATAATGTGCATTCTTATTATTACCACCGTGTATCAACACGTGCACCGCCGACTGCGATCGTCTCGCACTACCTCCTAAACTCGCGACCGAACTGAAACTGAACCGATCGCAGCGGCTGTGGATAGTGTAGGCACTTGTCGCCGCGACCGCCCTCACTTGTTTCTCCGTTCGTCGAATGTTTACCCCACACCTGCTGTCATTCTCATATCGACTTCTTTCCTTCTCATAAACATAGTTGACCCTATAGGCTGCTGGAAATTACCCTTTTTACCCACCACAAATTTATTCACAAATCATAGTCGCCGGTTTATTCGGGTCAGGTATTTAAAAACTGCCCGAAGGTTTTATTATCTTCCCAGTCTCTATAGTCGCATCTCTATATATGGTGAGGGTACAAACGTTCTGAATGCTTCTGCTAGCTTTCCACTCTTTGATAAATTGGAGCTTTGGTGGCCAAATTCCTCAAAAACAATCTTGATATAATCCAGTTCTATGAAACCTTAATTCTTTAAGGAATACTATAATACATTTTATTTTATTTTGAATTTATTTATATCATATTTATATCATATTTATTATATCATATTTGTTTTATTTTATTTCATTCATTTCATTTTCGGATAAAAACTCAATATTATGCCAATAGAAATCAAAAACATAAAAGCCATAAGAGAGGTAATCCTTAAAATCCCCAATTTCAGCAGCACAACAAAAAGAAAGCAACCAACAAAAAAGGAACCGATGAATAGAAAATAGACTCGCAGGGGCTGTTACTCAAGTCCATCAAGCTTAATATTTGTTCTAGAAGACAAATATTATTCGAATCAATACAAACCCATCTCTAAATTATTAAAAACCGTTTTATTTATTCTTATGAGAGATTGGATATGTGCAAAATAGAATGTGGCAAAAAATGTATGCAAGTATTTGAAGGAAAAGTTGTCATAAATTATTATGTTAGATAAAATCAGCAAAAGGTAATATCTACCTTACCTAAATTATTTATCTATTAGAACCAGTATTTGCTTGAAATACTTTGATGTGTGATGTCTATTAGAACCAGTATTTGCTCAAAAATGTTGCAAATGAAATATTAAGCGACCATGTTATTTTTATTTTCTAATTTATCGCTAAAAAACAGATAATTAAGTTGTTTCACTTCTGCGTTATCGTTTGATGAATAATTGTCGTAACGATACGGTTTTGTGATTAAATTATTATTTTATTACTTTACAAGCAATTAAAAAACATTAGTAATTGAAAATTTATTGCTAAAATTTGTCAATTTATTTTCTAAACATTTTCATTTTTTCAGTATGTTTGCCATTCCACAAACATTTCATTACTACACGTTTTCATTTCTCTCTGTGATCGGTGATGTTCGCTTTTTTGGCCACCTTTTGCTGCAAATTTGTGTTAACTTTTCTCCCTTTTTCCATTATTTTCCCTTTTTAAACCAAGATTCTTTTAACACAAAAATATTACATTATAGAGAATCTCTTTTATGACTAAAAATAGGCTATCGCTAGTAAATTAGTTAGTCCTCTACCCTTCGATAATGTTCTTTCTAAAAATTTCTCTCTCGAATAAATTGTTTCTAACCGTCGAATGTAACAAGCATTTTTTTTTTCATACCGATAATCAGTATTGTGAATTTTATTTTAAATTAAAATAAGTGTGTAGCTTTTAAAAATTATCTAGAAAACATGTAATTACTCTGATGCAATATTTTTCTTTTAGAGTCTACAGAATAAAAAATTGTCATCAAAGAAAAAAAAAATCATTTTTTATAAAGGAAACATATAAGCAGAATTTTAGCGAGTGCGACATTGATTTATCAGTAGATAAGTAAAGTAGCAAATTTGTAAGATTAATTTTCGTATGTTTCTTTATAATAAAAACCATTTATAAAAAGTTAAACTTTTGTTTCGTTCAATTCTCATTCTAGCGAGGTTCTACTGTATTTTGAACTAATTGTCCCAAAAAATCCATTTGATCCACTTTATCAAAACTGATACATGTATGTAGATATGTTCTGATCATATTTTTTTTAACTATAAAAAACTTAGATAAAAAATTACTAACAAAACAAAGTAATTATTTAATATGAAATAATTGTTTTTATTTAATTTTTATGCTATCATTATAACTAATATTCTTTATAATTAGCGCATTTCTTTTTAAATAGTTACAAATCAAATAAAATTATTAAAAAAGTAAAACACAAAAAAAAGGAAATTTGTCTCTATTTTTACATGACAGCTCTTCACGTGATCACTAATGCAGTACGTGTGTGTTTAGTTTAGTCAAACACATAAGAATTTGATTAAACTGATTATTGATTGATTAAATAAATATGAAGTAGTAAATTGAATAAGAAACGCATACAGGGTGTCTTAAGGTGGCGCTCTGCGAATAAGTGCTGTTTTAAGTTTAACTACAGACACCTAACAAATTATAAAAGATACGACTTTAATTTTTTTATATATTGATGGTGACACTTTTAGCTAATTATTTACCAAATTTTATTAATGTACTTACAACATACAACTGATAAAAAAAATCGTAAAGCTTAATTTGGCATTTTATATTATCAGTTTTATGCAGGGTGTCATAACTAAAATTTGCACCTCCTAAAATCCTCAATTTCGTCCAAGTTTAAAAAAAATATTGAAACAGGTCAAACTTGGACGAAATCGGAGATTTTAGGGGTGCAAATTTTAGTTACGACACCCTGCATAAAACTGAGAATATAAAATGCCAAATTAAGCTTCATTGAATTTATCACTGTCATTCTTTTTCCGGAAACTGGAAGCCAATTTAGCAATTCTATAAACCATCCACTTTCCATTATCTTCATTTTTATTACATTTTATTCTAAATTTAACCACTTTGTAAGAATTCAATCTGACACCTGTCCTAAATTGCGGTTCATCAGTTCAATCCAGGCAAATTCAATTTTAACACGCATTTCATTTGAAAATCGGGTCAGAAATGGTTCTTGTGCAAGATGCTAACATAATGTCAATCATTCATCATTGTTTGAATTTATGTCGAGTTAAATCACCACACGAAAATAAAGGACTTCTGTTTTGAGCGTTTATTAGCAAGAAATATGATTAATCGAGATAATTGTGTAGCTGTCCATTTTCATAAAGCTTCTTTATATCAGAAGCTCCTCCGAGAAACGATCCGTTGATGAAAACGCGTGGGACTGTTCGAGCACCTGTCATTTGCCCTAGGACTTCTTGAATTTCCTCGCAGTCTTTCCTGTTGTCGAGTTCGATGACAGTGAATTTCTGGTCCATCTCGTCGAAGATCTCTTTCGTTAACTGACAGTATGGACAGTAACTTTTCGAAAAGATGACTACAGTGTCACTCTCGATTAGATTTTGCACGAATTTAGATTTTCCCGAAGACATTTTATTGACTGGAATAGAAACTGACACTGACAGCGTCAGTTTTTTACTTGAATTCGCCCTACAAATTTTTTGCTCGCTTAAGATTCGTATCTTTAAAACAAATGTTAAATATTTTAAAATTCCTAGTTAACCAGAAGTCTAGGTTAAAAAATCCTCGGTCATTGACCCGTTCTTTGTCTCGTTTTCTCAGCACCAGGAATTCGGCGAAAATAGTAGTCCCTCGGGAGAGCACTTCTCACTGAAAAACTGATTTCTAACCCTCTAACACTTCCTGGCTTAGGGTGAGTTTGCCATAGGGGTAAAGTATTGATTGAGTGAGGCTCTCTGACCTTGAAATGGAAAGCCGAGGGAGGCAAAATCGGATTATTAACGGAAATAGGAAACATCTGAATGAAATTAGAATAATTTTTGAATGAGAGGAGTTCAGGGTCAACGGAGCAATTTTCATAAATCTACATAGGTCCAAAAATTTTCCATTAACTGTTTTTAACCGCCGACGAAATTTATCGATAATAAAATGGCACATAATTCAGCGAGAAACTCAACCCTCGGCTCACAAGCCCGAACGAGGACGTTGACTCCCCGACTTCTGAAACACGAAACTTATCAGAAGCAGTCGATATGACACTGAGAATTCCGTCAAAAGGGTTATTCAAAGAATTTTTCAGACGGAAAATTGCTCTAAGACTAATACGTGCAAAAATTTAAATAAAATCGCAATTATAACTGTTCCCTATTCACAAAAAGAACCAGATTTTTGACTTCAATGTGGAAGTGTGTCGTAATTATCGATTTGTTATTAAACCTCATTTAATAAAAGCTGGTGGGTGGCTTGCTGTAATGATTTTGTTCACGTAACTTCCTCGATACTAGTGAAATTACACACGAGACAATGTTCAATCAAACGTTTCTTGCGCGGTTTGTAAGGTTACACCGAAAATGTGACAAATTAAATAACCGACACGAAATACTGTGTAATAACTACTAACGAGACTACTAATAAATAAAAACTTTTTAAAATTAAATTTGAACTCATTTCTTTAGTTAGCTATTTAGTAAAAAGTTGTTAACAACACCTACTGGGTGTTTCAAAAATCGCGCCTCAGAGAAAAGTGCCAAGTGAGATACCAGGAACATGGCAAAAGTTTTACAAAATTTTAACTGTCAAAAAATTTTGACATTTTTTTTAATTCGAGATTTATTATGTCTATTTAATATTTCTCTCATGATCCTCTATATGCTTTTTCATAATTATTTAGTAAAGGTATAAAAATGTTGCCAATAAAAGCCACAAATAACGTTAAATATACTTACAATTTAGAATACAGCTTCTTTGTTTTCTCTTTTAACAGCATGCAGCAAAAAAAAACATGCATGAGAAATTATTTTTCCAACAGAACTAAATAAAGTCAAAGTGGAAACTCCCATAATTTTGAAATTTTTATGGGTAGAATTTTTTTAACATTTTTTCCATGTTCCTGGTATCTTACCTTACATGTGACATTTTTCTCTGAGACACGAGTTTTGAAACACCTGTATAGTATACACTGACAATTTTATATATTTTTTTAAATCTTATAGTATATTTGTTTCATAATTTGGATTATTGGATTATTGGTACAGACAACATGTGCAATGTGGTTCTATTTTTCCTAAAAATTATTGATTAAAAAATTATTCAATTCGAAAAAAGAATTGACGTTAACAATAATCTTATTAAACGTAAACAAAATAAATAATAACTTAATAATATTAAAATAAATTAATCTCACTAAATTAGATGTTTTTCTGATTATAGGTAATTATTATTGTTATTTCTTCTAAAAAAATTGATAAAATATTACCAATAAAGATGAAAGAAATTTTATTGCTGCTTTTTGACATTATAATAATGGCATTGTTTTATTTGACACCTTGCAAATAGATTTTATTAAATGTTAATATTTTTTTTTAACTTTGATAATTTTTTTAAACAATAATTTTTACAAAAAGCGAAACATATTGCACATATCTATACCAAGAAAATTAATTCCTTCCAAATTATGAAGCAAAAAATATCGATTCCAATTTAAAATTAGAAAGTTGTTATAGCCCAAAACAATTAGAAAAATTCTAAAATTGTCAGCTTATACTATACAGGGTGTTTCACATAACTTTTCGAGGATTGCGCCTAATGTACGCATCCAAATATGCAAAAATCACAGAACACTGGATACAAAAAACACACATTTAATTATTTAATTTTTGGAAACCCATGACAGTAGTTGTCAAAGTAATCACTGTTTCATTAATAGTCATAATAGTCATAAACTGCAGCTTTTCACAAACAATTATCATTTGTTCTATCAAGAGACGGCATGAATGTGATTCAGTTTATCTATCTTAATCACTAACTAACTAAAAACGTTGTAATTTTTGAAAGGATGAACAAACTAGAGAAGATTATCCAATTTTTCAAATTTTGTAATCGAGTTCGTATCGGAATATGTATTATTGATTGCATCTTACAGGCGCAGGCCTCGTAAAATTATGTGAAACACCCTGTATTAAAAGTCCTTTAATTTATTATTTTAATTTTTGCCATAAATAAAAATTCTACAGCGTTGGTCGTTTTTTAAAAATCACGCTTTATAAATGGTACGCATTTTAAATAAATGTGGTATAATTTTAATATGTAAAAATTTAACAAAATGTATCTGAAGTTTATTTTCACAACAAGAGTGAAATTGCCTCAATCGATTAAAATGATCAATTATCGAACAATTATTTAACGAACTAAAGACTAATCGACCAATTGTTTTCTCTAATCAGAGAATTAGTTAACAACACTTTGCATTTAATTTTTTCAACTATAGTGACATGGTGTAGATAATGATGTCTCAATCGAATTTTTTGTTTCATATCAAGAAAATTATACATATCACAGCCTTGAAAAACATAAACTCATATAATTACGTATGAATCAATTAGACTGTAACTTGAAAGAAAATAAACGTATCATGTCATGCAAACTTTGAATTAAGAGTTGATATAAAGTATTGGAAGCTTTACAAAGTCTGGTCCCTTGCAAAAACTTCTACACACTTTGAGTCAAAAGAACAAACTTTTAAAAGTAGATTTACTTTTTTGCGCCTTTTTTGTTAATTTCATTAAAGCATTTCCCAACTCGAAATTGCTCTTAACCAATTTGGTTTGTTTTTTGGGGTTCAATGAACAATTAAACATAAAATGAAGGCCACTGTTCCGTTCTAAATTGCACTTCTAACACTGTGACCACTGAACTAATGTAATTTACTACAAATGACGTAATATATCACACACTCTTTTGCATTAATAGTGTCGCTGTATTTAACTGGCAGCGTATTATTAAGAGCTCGTTGAAAAATATCAGGCAAAAATAATTTAATCTTGGAATTATTTTTATTCGAGTTCGTTGCCTCCAAACACAACATTTAATTAATTTTTACCAACGTGTCGAGTCTGCCAGATATCAGAGATTAAGAAAAGAATCAAATTCAGAGGTCAGACTTTGGCGAAAATTTTTATTTTAATTAAATCAAATTGACTTTTGACTTTGTTCAAGTCAGATGATAGTGATGAATCAAATTCGGGGACGAAAATACACCTATTCAGTGACGTTTATTTTGAGCGGTATTTACTCAAAACTTAAAAAAGATACCGGAAATAGAAATATTGAAGGTCAATTAATAAGACACAAATAAGTATACGATAAATTAATGTAGTGATGGATTGGTCGTCAAAATTTATCAACGTGTAAATATTGTGAAACGAGACTTTTTATGATTGTTTTAGATCTTTGAAGATTGGGACATTTTCGGGACTGATAAAAAATTGATAGTTCAATGCTCCCTGATAAACAAATAACAACAAAAGGGGAGATTATCAAAGGGGTCAAATGTGTTTTTGCATACCTAATTTTTATAGCTGCCCGAAAACCAAATATTTGTAAAGCGAATATTTGGATAAAATATAGATACAACAATATGTTTGTTTTCATTTTTGGCAAACAGCAACAAAATTAATTGAAAAATTGACATTCCAATAGTGCTTTTAAAAACTTTTGATAAAAATGTAAGCTATAAAGCACAGTTTCAAAAAAAGTGACAATTAAAATAACTTCCCATATTTCTAGTTTCATAAGAAAACAAATTGCGTGTTATTATATCTAATTCTTTTAAGTACAAAAATTTCAATTTAATTTAAAAAAATCGGTGGAAATTGATAAGGAAAATATAAATAAATTATCTCGATTTAATGTAAAGATTATAATGTAATCAAAAAAGTGAAATAAAATATTTCATAACATCTGATAATTTTTTTAAATTTTGTGTTACACGGGTCCCAAGTTTAACCTAAGGCTGGCGCAAAAATAAATATTGAGTAAAAATTGAGTAAAAAAAGTACTTGACACTCTAAACGACAGAGAATTAAATACACTTCAATTTTTTGCTTTAAATTTGTTCAAAATTTTTGAGGTATAACAGTGAGACTGTAAAAACCAATTAAAAAAATCAAGTTATTGGAGCTTTCTCTATTTGATAAAATTCCTTTAATTTTTCTAGTGATAATTGTTAAAATTAAATACATAATGCAAAACTTGATAAATTTTGAGTAATTATTGTAAGTATTGAAAATTCTGTTATTTTTTCGCCAATGTTGAGTTGATAAGCTGCTAATGCATAGATTTTCTATATTAAAATGTTCTTATCCTATTAAATTTTGCACTATTCTATTTTAAAAGTTAACACATTTTTTTAAATTTTATCATCTAGACAATATTCCTATAACTTCGGATTTTTTTTTTCAAAATTAATTAATTTTAAACGATATCAAAGCATCAAATTGAAATGTATTTAATCTTCTAGATATGCAATGCATGCAATCAATCGCTTTTTTTACTAACTAGAAATATTTATTTTTGCGCCGGCCTCTAAAACGTACAACACTGTGTACTATTTAACATAAAATTTTACTTTTTTATTATTCAACCAGGAGTACTGTACATTTTATTGTTACAAAGAAACTGGGTCCTTTTTTTCTAGTTGTAAAGAATCTTCTAGTTCTTATTTTTTATATAAAAGAGAACGCAAGATTCAGCGCTTTAAAAATAGTGTCATAAAAAAATCATAGAAATGTGAAATTAATTTATTAATCAAAATACATATAAATAAAATTCTTTACAAAAAGGAAAACAATAATTATTATCAAAACACATTTCTAGTCGTCATCAAATGCATCATCATCGTATTCTTCCATGTCTTCACAAGTAATCAATTCCATTATGACACTAAAAAATATTGAAATATATACATAAAAACACGATTTCTCAACTGACTTACTTTAAAATTTTCGTCTCATCATCTCCTCCCCAAATCACTGGTCCCGGATGAGATATTTTATATTCCAAAAACCAGTTGAACCGATCTCTCAAGTCCTTAATGATAGAAGCCGTACTTTCCGTACACTTAAATCTCAAATTCTGATTAATGGAAATCATAATGCGACCATCTTCACAAATCTGATTAAACTTATCGCCAAAAAATATAACAGGTAAGGGGTGAATTAATGAGGCGTCGTGGATGAAATCGCTCTTCGATTTCATTTTCCTATAATAAACGAGAATATTTGTATCGAAGTATTTACAACTGGACAATATTGATTTCGGATGAAGCTTCAAACGTTTCATATCAGGAGTCTTAACAGGTGGCTTTCCTAAAACCCTAAAAACAACAAATTAAAAATCACTACAAATAAATCATATTTACGTCGAAATGGCAATATTGGGATACAATCCGGCACAAATAATAGCCTTGATCAAGCTGAGATTGTTCGAATTTAGGTTACACTCGGGACATTTCGGATTTGAATTTGGGACGAAGTTCATTTCGTACAAATACTCCATGTATTGTTTCTTCATATCTTGCAATTGTTTTAAAGTTTGGTGACTCAGAAAGTAGTTCCAACAAAACTGCCGAGACGAACTTCCACTCTCCTCAAACCCTTTCAGAGCCTCGTGGAATAACAAATGATCACTTTTTATACCCCTTGACAACTCTAGTTTTACATTATTAACCTCTTTTTCTTTACCAATCGGCAATTGGAACGGATCCTTGAAATCAAGAGCGGCAGCGATTGACAGAATTGGGTCCAAACAGCTGAAAATCGCCCCAAAAAGGATCATTTTGCCCATCTGTGGCGACATGGGCAATTTGGCCAAGTGGTACCCCAACGGTGTCAATTTCTCATCATCAGTCAACGCATTCATACGTTTTAGTAGCTCCAGAGCTACAGAAACAGCTTCAGGATCAGGCGAGTCAATCAACTGGGCGAAAAATTGCTCAACTTTGCCCAATTGTAGCACTTTCGCCGTCAGAATAACATCCTCTAATCGAGTCCTTAATATCTCAGGCAGTTGGTACTGCTCCAAGAGCATATTGCGAGCCTTGCTGAACAAATGAAAACACATCCCGGGCCTGACACGACCTGCGCGCCCTCTACGTTGATTCGCATTGGCTAAAGACACCCATTCCGGTGATAAAATATCAGAGTTTGTTCGGACGTCAAAGTTGGTAACTTTGATTTTGCCACAGTCGATGACGTAAACAACATCGTCGATTGTTATCGACGTTTCGGCGATGTTCGTCGCGATTATGATCTTGCGCATGCCACGAGGGGGCGTCTCAAAAATTTGTTTTTGATCCACCGTTGGCATGAGAGAATGTAAGGGAAAAATGAGGAATCTACTACTCGGAAAATGGCCATTTTCGGATATTAGTCGAGTCAAAGTGGAGATTTCTTGGAAGCCAGTTAAAAAAATCAAAATGGCGCCTTTGTCTTGCTCTTTTTGGCAAATATCGACGACAAGTTGGACGATTAGGTCGAGGTTGAGGTCTTCGGATTCTGGTTTGCGTAATTGAATGCAAACTTGTCGACTGTACTGATTTGTCCGCTCTAACTGTCTTACATGTGGTTCTATGAAATCACTATATTCTTTGAGTTTTTTCTGTTTGATACGTCCGGTCGGTGGAAACACAAAACCGGTCCGTTGTAAGACATCTTCGAGGTAGAATTCTTGGACAGGATAGGTGAACCCTGGAATATTCAGATGAGGAGCGTTGTCGTAATACTTTGAGAATTTTTCGGAATTAAGCGTAGCACTCATCAAGATAATTTTAAGGTCGCTTCGTTTTACTTTAATTTTCTTAATAAGAGCTAGGATAAAATCAGACATTACGTCACGCTCATGAATTTCATCGAGGATCAAATGAGAGACCCAAGACAGCGAAGCGTCTGATTCCATCATTTTTAGAACCACACCAGTTGTGCAAAAGTAGATGGAGCCCCGATCGCGGGGTAAACGGCTGTAATTTCACTAATTACAAACGCCAAAATCGATTTTACGAATTTTTTACCTTTCCATCCTAATGTGGTATCCCACGCTGTTTCCTAGACTCTCAGCGCGCTCTTCTGCCACTCTCTGAGCCACAGTAATGGCACTAATCCGACGTGGTTGCGTACACAAAATCTTACAAACTGAACCTCTCTTTTTTTGTAAAAAATCATCAAGGATGAATTGAGCAACTTGGGTCGTTTTCCCACACCCAGTTTCGCCACTAATCACCACAACTTGATTCTCATCAATGACTTTCAAAATCTCCTCTTTCATACTAAACGCCGGCAACTTTTTGCGTTTCTTTTTCATGTCAACGTATTTAGGATTGGATTGCTTTTTCAAAAATTCCTCATATAATGACAAATTCAATGTGGCATCTTCGGCAATAACTTCAGACGTTTGTAGCAACTTTTCATCAATTGTCTCGTTAATGACTCGAAGAAAGTTTCTTTTGAAAACTGAGTCTTCAACATGTTCATATGTACCGCTGGTAGTGACAAAAAGATTCCTTAATGACGTTGAGTTTAATACTGCTTGAATTTGATTCTTTCTGGATTCTGATAACAAGATAGTGCCCAACTGGAATAAAAAAGTGAGGTGGGAATAGTACAATTGAAAAATTAATTACCGGTCTCTTTTTGTTTTGCTCATTTCTTTCTTTGTTTCTTTGGGCAAAAAACATGCCAATTTGTTTGCCTTTCAAGTGGGGAGGTGGTCTCTCATGATTACCCTTTTTTCTATTGCCCATTCGATCTCTTTTGCTTGACATATTTCTTGTTGAAAACATAAAATTCGGAGCCAAAAGTGGGGTTATGCAACGTTTGACATGGGGGAAAGCTCGCCGCCATGGGGGAAAACGTACAACCAACATTGGATAAATTTCATTAGCGATGTAATTTCAAGACCTTGTACTACATTTTATTTATGCTTTCGTTGGTTATTTTGACATTTTGAAATAACATACTGTATGTTATATAACAGAAATTTGCTAAAATTTGTAATTTATACTGTGCAGGATTCTGTAATTTGCAGTTCGACTACTGATTCAGAGGGAGCACTTTCAAAATTTATTAAATTACAGTTATAACTGGTTGTCTATACTTAGTTTTATATGAAAAAGTAATTTCAATAATACAGGGTGTTTCACGTAATTTTACGAAGCCTGCGCCTGTAAGATGCAATCATTAATACATATTCCGAAACGAACTCGATTACAAATTTTGAAAAATTGGATAATCTTCTCTAGTTTGTTCACCCTTTCAGAAATTACAACGTTTTTAGTTAGTTAGTGATTAAGATAGATGATGCAATCATATTCATGGCATCTTTTAATAGAACAAATGATAATTGTTTCTGAAAAACTGCAGTTTATGACTATTAATGAAACAGTGATTAGTTTGACAACTACTGTCATGGGTTTCCAAAAATTACATAATTAAATGTGTATTTTTTGTATCCAGTGTTCTGTGACTTTTGTATATTTGGGTGCGTACATTAGGCGCAAGCCTCGTAAAGTTATGTGAAACACTCTGTATAGTATAGTATCTAAGCTTGTTTTTAATAAAAGATTTTCTAATTAAGTAAAAAAATATGCTTGTTATTTTTTATATACTATAGTTTTATTCATTTTGTGTTTTTTTTCTCTAAATTTAAATCAAATTTGAGAAAATCTTTGACAAAAGACGTTTTGGTACAATCGCATTTACTTGAAAGGTCTCTTGTTGTGAACTAAATGAAAAGGTTTTATTTTCTGTTCAATTTTATCAATTTTATTACAAAAGGTTAAGTCAATGAAAAATCAGAAAACTAAATTCTAGAGAGAATAATGTTTATCTTGAGAATAATCAACGTCGCGGAAAATGCTTAAATGCATAATATATTATGACGAAAACCTCTTATATTTAGTGCACTTTTGGGGCTCTGTTCATCTTACTACTTAGTCAACAGTTAGGTTTTTATGAGTCTAGTAAACTAGTTAGCGAATAGACAAATGCCTTGTTGCATCGATCGCTTTGCAAGTTGGAACATAACACAACACTATATTCTAAAACTGCATCAGCAACTTGGTAATTATGAAACTACCACTAGTTTAACGTCCAAAAAGAGCACCCAGTGAATACTTTAGATTAGTGTCTCTGTTCTGTCTTAATTTTGCGAGTTTGCAAAACTTGCAGAACGGTAAAAAATTAATGTTTGAATAAGGTGACAAAATTAAAAGTGTTTTTGTCACGTTCCTCGTTATCCTCTCAATTCTCTGGAAGATAAAAATTGAGCAAGACCCGCTGAAAGATTTGTAACGGTGTCCGATACCTAAATTTAATTATTGGAAAACCATTACGGCTTTCTCAAGTTTTAATCGGTTAGAAATATATACCGGATCATTGTACCACACCGCCGCTATACCTCAATACGAGAAATCGATAACCGCCAATTCACTCTCGACCGGCTTTTCTTATGCCAGAAATGCGAACACGTTACAGTTCAAAACTTTGGCCATTTGCCGGGTAATTTACGGGCAATGTTATTCATCGGGTTTTGCCTCCGAAAATGCCCTAAGCAGCTTTTTCCGAAGCTCGACAAAACTCCACACAAAACTCATGTGTTATATTTGGTAATGAAATTAAATCGCGTGGATGGAATTTACAACGCAATCATATCTTTATCAGTTTTTGTATATACTGTGAAATTAAAACAATAATTTATTTGTAAAATCACGGGAATTAACGCTTATAATCGAGGCATAAATCACGATTTCGAATGGCCGTTGAGAGAAATACGTCGACATTGTGTATTGTTCGTAATCACAAAACGAATGGAAATCATTTCGTCCTGTCATATATCGGTTTCAATAAAAATATCGCACTCTTATAGCTCATATTTTTCTGTCATTAACATGTATACATTTTATTAACGGTTTCAATCATCTACAGGCCCGGTTTTGTTTGTTTTAAACGAGCCAATAAATAATACGACTAGCAAATTACTGATTCTAGATTTTGATGCTTTGAATAAAATCTTGACCAAATGGAGTAATTCCGCCACGTTTCATCGTCCAGATGGCGAGATTTGGTTCGCTACCAATTACTCGTGTTGTCCTGCATCCTAAGTCATCGAAATGAACACATTTCTCTGCATTCGTGGGCCACTCGAGGGAGGAAGTAGTGACGTACGACGTGACGAGTGCTGCGGTCATTACGGCGGTCAGTTTGTTCCTCCCAGAGGGTCTTAACAGCTATCCTCTCCCGCAAGTCGGCATCTATCACTGCCCGTTTCCTCCCTTGTCTGCCGGAAATTGTACTACGCATGCAATTTCTCACAAACAGACTAAGTGCAATGGATACGTCATTTTTTACTATGCACTTTGGAGATTGGCGGTGAAAAATTTATGGAGCGCAACAGACCTGAACATCTCCGACAATTTAACAAGGACGTGCGGTATTCGACGATAATTGTGAATGTGATAAGTCAAGAGACAGTATCGATTCCTCGAGACGGAAAACTTATTCACTAGTATTTTTTGATATTTGGTGCTGATTTACATAAAATTTATGAAAGGTTGCGAGTTATTGCTCTTTCGCCGATATTGTGATCGAGGAATTTACGCTCAGAAAAGTGATATTTTTTAATAACTAAAACGCCACCTCAAACTTTACTATAAAATGTGATGTATCCTGTCAAACTCATAATGTGATATACTTTTTACAATGTAATCAGCACGCCACAAAAGCAAATGATTTACACTTGCTTGAGAAACTAATATTAGAATTATATCAGATGCCATAAATTTTGCTTGTTTTCGTGAGAATTAGTGGTCAGAATATTTAAAACGTACGTAGAAAATGTTTATAGTGAGGAGACATGTATTTTTTATTTAATAATAAAACCATACATATAGGCCCAGTGGCGCAGCGAGAAAGGGGTTTTTGGAAGTAAACCCCCCAGAACAAAAACATGCAAAATTATAAGGACGTGGTAATAAAACTAAAATTATATTTTAAAAACAACCAAATTACACATTCGAATTTTGTATACAATTACATTCGATGTTGTCATAACTTTAAAAAAGTCACAAATTTTTCCTTTTTTTATTTTGTATATATTGCAGCAAAACTGTGTTCAAACGTTATAATTTTTTTACATCCATATGTAAAATGTTTCGAGAAATCGATTGGCGTCAAGAAAATTGCAAAACTTTTGATTGTTTAGAAGTTCCCAGCTGGACTGCATCTCAAAAAATAAAGATTTAAGTAAATGAATTTTTCTTCTATCATTTACAATAGTCGTTTCACCTATCCGGGGACACACTGTAGGTATGTGTTTTTGCAATCGATAAATTTTTCGATCGTGTCAAATATTTTCTACAAATTATGAATTAATATGAGTAAGTTTTTATTTTATGTCTGTGTAAGTTTGGTCATAATTTACAGAAATATTCCAACCTTTCAGTTTTAAAAACAGTTTACTTTTAAACACACCACAGACAATAATATATTTATTTTTTCAAAGGTAATATATATTTTAATAATATACAGGGTGCGCCAGAGCTCGCGCCCCACAGAAAAATGCCATATAAAGTATGATACCAGGAACATGGAAAAAATGTTAAAAAAAATTTAACTATAAAAATTTTGATGTTATGAGAGTTTAAATTTTGGACTTTGACTATTTATTTCTATTGCAAAAATAATTTTCCAAGTTTTTTGCTACAAGCTATTATAAGAGGACACAGGGAAGCTTTATTTAAAGCGTCCAATTTACACTCAAACGAGTTGAATACAACATTTTATTCTTCGAATTAGACTCAATAAGACTTAAGCTTGCTTTAAATCTATTAAAAATAATCTGACGTTTTATATTGAGAAATGCCAAACAGTTGTCCTTACACAGGAGAAAAACCGTAAATTTTGACAGTGTCGAAGAATATAAATATAATAGTATATAATAGTACGAGTATATAACAATAATTTAATAAAAATTCATTATATTTTTTTGCATGACGGGGAGTAGAAATCAACATTTCTTATGCCAAAAATGTGAGTAAAGTCAAAATTCTTTTCCAAGGAAGAGAAATGAGCATAACGACGAGAGCAAATACGAAGTGATCCAGAAAGACTGAGTCTGTTGGGAACAGATTTGAAAGTATTTTTGTTAATAATTTGAAACACTGCAACCGGATACGGTTTTGCTTAACAAATACTTGACGTACAACCCCACAAGATTGTTAAATTGTTTTTAATCAAAAGTGCACTCTAATGGTAAGCTTTAAAAATTAGGGTCAGAATTGCCAACATACTCAGTCATTGTGGATTACTTTACTCCAGTTACTAAGTCATTTCCTTTCATTGATTGACTCATCGTCAACAAACGTTTTTACAGTTGCCATGATGTAATTTCAACGAATGCAAACTTTATGCTAATTTTTAAATTTTGTTAAAAAATCACAGCCAATTTCTTGAGTTTTTAACGCAAGTTGTGCAAAAAATAGTGCATACATCACTAGAGAAAATTCAGAGAATTGCTATTATTTCTTTTTTCTCAAAATTCGTTCTCTGGCTATAAATTGCACCTCAGGAATAATCGTGCAATTTTCTGCTTCTTTTATGTTCAATATGCTATTATGAAATAAAATAGAATTCGCGCTTTCCAGAAACTTTTTAGGCCAGTTCATATAATTAGCAATAATTTAAACATTTGGAAATATGATAAAGCATTTTGTTATAAATTCTGTTATGAATATTTATATTATCAATGTATACCAATATTTTTGTCATGAAATGTTTTTAAGACCACACAAATGTTATTTTTTAATATTTTACATAAAATAAAATTACCTATATTTTTGAGTTTACAACAAATAAAAGCAGTTTAAAAGTTAATTTGTTATCGTCTATCTCGGAATTAACAAG